AATTGCCCCTTGAACGACCACCATCAACAATGAAGCCATCTCCATGACCCTCAAATGCCATAAGATACTTTATCTTCTCCTTTGAATATAGAGTATCATAAACTTCTTCGATTGTGAGAGTATCACAACTATATAAACTTGTGTCTTCAAAAGACATGTATGAAGAGGGTAATAAACACAATAAAATCAATCCCAAATCATTTTCATCATATTTGACCTCAAATGTCTCCAAATCAGCGACGATTTCCTTAAAAGCATCTAGGTGATCCTCAATATATGTATCTTCTATCATACAATGAGAATATAGACGATGTTTCAGATGCAATTTGCTAGTAAGACTCTTCATCATGCATAATTGTTTCAATTTTAACCATAATGCAGCGCCTGACTTCTCATTACAAGAACAAAAAAATTTATAGAGTAAATAAGATTCTATTATAATATGGAGAAAGAATACAAAAATTTGTATTTACAACGTTTCTAGCTTCTTTTAAATTATAATGAAGATCCAACTATATATATTGAACAAATAGAGGGCATCCAAACCCTAATAGTAGAATTGTAGTTAAAGTAAAATGTAATAAATGGAGTAGAGGAGGAAAAAATAGAGCAAAAAATAGCCCAAATGGCACCTCGGCGCCGGGCCTAAATCCTCTTGGCACCGTGGCGCCGCGATTGGGTCCTTTATTTCAAAATTTGATTTTCTTCATCCCAATATCATCATCAAGTCCAACACAAATTCCGGCTCTCAATGAGCTTCCAAATAGAACTTCAACTATAATTCGCCAAATAGACTTCAAATAGGATTTCAAAAACATTCCAAATAAAATTCTTCTTAACGTGCATTTTAATTAGAATTCCCAATTATTTTCAATAAAGAATTCGAGTCGCGTCCAAATTCTAACATTAACAATAGAATCAAGCACTGCGATTAAGGCTTCAACCTCTTTGGGTTTTACAAGTTAGAGATAAATTGAGAAAGTGTAGATGTCGATATGAATTTCTTTTCTGAAAAAATAGAAGTGCAAAAACGAAAAACAGCTGGAGTGAAGTGTCTCATAGCGCACTCATCGTTTCACTAGAAGAATAGAAAATTGCATGAGATTTGTTTTCATTCATGCGACCTCTGTACATTGTACTCTTTGTTTTTTGCATTTTTCGAATCTAAACAGGAAAAAGATTAATCATAAGAAAGAGTGACACCCACCTCGTTCAGAATGGTGAATATGAAAATGACCTATTAAATAACGTAAACCGTCCACTAGAATGTAAACGCAAGTAGGCATGTCATCAGGACTCGATCGGACCGAACTAAATACTAATCAAATTTTTATATAAATCGATTTTAATTTTAATTGGATTCGGCCAGAGAAAAATGCACACCGCTAATACAACGTCGAATAAAATTAGACATACTTATAAAATATTTGTCGACGTCAGTGTGCCAAAAAAAAAAATTCCAATTTTGAGAAATAGGAGTTGAAATCGGAGACAATGTCAACGTCAATTCTTTTTGGGATTTCCAATTAGTGATTAAGAGTTTATGTTCCATAGCCATCAAAACAGCCCAAAAGAAGGCAATAAATGTTATATGTACACGTCTGCACTTGCTTGTTTGATACTTAGATAGGTAATGGTTGATGATATTTACCCCGTTAGATCGTTATAGCAATATCAAAATGTATTGAGCTGTCCAACACAGGCCCTAGATGCCTAAACATGAGTCAAATTGAACCAAGAAAAGCTAGACGTGAGCCGACGCAAAATTGAAGTATAACCAGATTACACTTTTACGGGTAATGCTATACGTACCGGAATTTTATTACAGAAATCCTACCGAATTTCAAAAAATCTGATTTGGCACTGCAACATTCATTATCCCCTGGCAGCCACAACCACCCCCTTTTACCCACCTCACCCAGCCACAACTCAACACCGCCCCCTTCCCCTTTTTCCTTATTTATTCTCAAATTTTGAAATGATTACGTGTATATTAAACGAAGTCGAAATGTTACATCCTTAATACCATTTTGAAGTACTCATGGCCTAATCTATTACAATTCTAACCTCGTGCGAAACGGCCAACCGTAACAAAAGTTACCACTCGTCGAAATAGGTCGTTCCAAAATATATAAATATTTTTTTCTTATTTTTATCTCAATTTTCGGGCTTATCATGGAATGTCAAACGAAGTCGAAATATTGCATCCTTAATACCATTTCGAAGTACTCACAGCCTAGTTTATTGCAGTCCTAACCACGTGCGAAACGACCAACCGTAGCAAAAGTACCACTCGTCGAAATAGGCCGTTCCAAATTATATAAACGTTTTTTTTCTTATTTTTATCTTAATTTTCAGACTTATCACGGGATGTCAAACGAAATCGAAATCTATTATTCTTAACATCATTTCGAAGTACTCACGACGTAGTTTATTGCCTATTTCAACGAGTAGTAACTTTTGGAACGGCCTATTTCAACGAGTAGTAACTTTTGCTACGGTTGGTCGTTTCGTACGCGGTTAGGATTGCAATAAATTATGTCATGAGTACTTCGAAATGGTGTTAAGAATAAGAGATTTCGATTTCGTTTGACATCCCGTAATAACCCCGAAAATTGAGATAAAAATAAGAAAAAAATATTTATATATTTTGGAACGGCTTATTTCGACGAGTGGTAACTTTTG